TATGATTCAATGCAACAAAATAAACAAATATAAAAGGTAAAAGATTAAACCTGTTCTATTACATGCTGCAGTGTATCACCTACCAGGCTTTGAGTAACAGTGGCTCCCGATCAATTTAGTTGAATAGCCCTGACCTCAATAATCAGACACTCAAGTGCAAAACGTTCAGTATATCAGGGTGTGGGGGGACGTACCCTAAGATCCCCTTGCCTGCTCTGGGAGGACTGGGTGGTTTCTGGGTTGGGGGGTTGGACCGGGACAGACTTCCTCCTAGTTTCAGATTCTGCTGCCCATTCACCTGTGAAAACACACACAGTGTTAAAACACTGAGGAGTTTTAGCTCCATTCTATAAAAACATGATGAGCAGATTACACACACAAGCCAAAACATTATGACCAATCTTCCTAAAGTCCTGCAGGTGGCTTCAGCCCCAGCCTGAGTTCTGACAGCGTCTGTGCCTGGTGTGAGGTAGAAAGCAGTTTTATTTTGAAGTGACTTGATTTATTTTGACCTGGACGTGTGTGTGTTCTTTATCGCTGACGTGTTGCTCTGACAGCTTATTTATTGATGGCTTAAATTTTGTAAACATTAGTCTTAATCACTTCTTAAAACAGGTTAAAGTGATGATCTGCCAATTTGAAGTAGGGTCCGTAGAAAAGTAATAAATAACTAATATAACCTGTTGTAGATATCTGTTTGAAAAGCCTCATTTCAGAGAAATACTGTTTAATTCTGTCAGGACTGATGAACTAATGGCTAGTCCAATTGGTAAAGTGGACTTCTGCCATCTTAAAATAACTTTAATCTCAAGGCTTTCATAGAAAGCTTTCATGAGCTTTCCTAGTTTATTTTACATCCCACAGATATTTACACATTCTATATTATTTTACAAGTGCAATCAGCAGCATCTGAATAAATTGCTCAGAATATCAGTGTAGTTTATATGATTATTATTAAATGTCTTTACATCATCATGAATTCAGCATTAGACAATTATTCTGCCACAAATATWCAAAAATGTGATATAAAGGATTTAAACCAGAAGAGCTGCTGCATATTTTTATGCTTACAAATAATCACATGACCCTATTTAATTATTGTGTTTCACACAGTGTGAAGGTTTCTAAAATACAGTATGTATAAACGGCTCTGAAAACCTTTTTCAGATTGAAGTTATTATAAGTCGGCAATAATCCACTTTGCACTGATAAAATGTTATCTTGTTAATCTGAACTAGGGTTGGGCAATATTGTCAAAAAAAATCACGATTAATTGTGGTATTTCGCCGATAATGATTAATTTGATGATTAATCCCCTGGAGTCTCTGGTCACCCTTATGTCCTGGCCACATGGCCAATTTAATGGGAAAGTTTTGCTCTTCATACAAATCTGTTCCAAATTGTGTCAAAATTACAGACTTCAGGCTATACATCAAATTTTAAATTGTGTTGATAGATAAAGAATTTACAGAACGTTTTTTTAATGTTCATCATATTTGAAGCAGAGAGGACAGAGAGCGGACTCTGCCTGGTGGCATTAATCGTATTAATCATCAAGTGCCAAAAAGTAATCGATTAATGTTTTTCTGACAATTAATTGCACACGATACGATTATGCCCAACCCTAATCTGAACTCTTTTTCTCCAAACAGAGGTTATTTAAAAGGCCAATATCATGTGTTGCCCAGGCTTTTATTTAAGTTCTATACCATAACTAGAAGCCCTTGAAGAGCGCTAACCTCCGCCAAGGCCAATTTCCCCTATCCTGCAATAGTGAAAAATGCTTCAAAAAATTCCTGGATCTGGATCGTGATCCGGATCATCCCCAAAATTTATTGGTGTGTTCCTTTGGCCAATACCCACCAGTGGTAAATATTTCATGAAAATCCATCCATAAGTTGTTGAGTAATTGTCAACAGACAGACAGACATACGCAACCGAAAACCTAACCTCATAATCTTAAGACCAGTCAAAAAAGTGCTAGAATTTGCATTTTGCACTATTGGATCTTAAGAAGGTTCAAAGTAGAGCTTCAAATTGCTAGAGCTATTAAAAGAAGAAATCAGTGCAAGAGACAAGAACTTTTGAGCGGGGAATTTTCTGAAAACTGCATTTACACTCAAACATGATTTTTTTCAGCTGATCAAAAGTTTAAGACCATAGTCTTTAAAAGCCAAAAGCTGTGCAAAAATCTGGATTCCATGCCATTTTCTGTCAAGRYTTTACACTGTCAAGACCTCCTGATGGCAAAAGTAAAAAATCTCACTGACTTTGAACGTGGTAGGATTGTTGAGCTGCATAAGCAAGGCCTCTCACAACGTGCCATCGCTGCTGAAGTTGGACGCAGTAAGACAGTCATTTTGCATTTTTTAAATGATCCTGAGGGTTATGGAACAAAAAAGTCAAGTGGTAGACCCAAAAAAATTTCACCAGCTCTGAGCCGCAGGATCCGATTGGCTGTCCGTCAAGACACGGGACGATCCTCTACCCAAATTAAGGCCATTACTGGTGCTGACTGCAGCCCAATAACCATCAGACGGCATCTGTGAGAGAAGGGCTTCAGAAAAAAAACGTCTTCAAAGGCCACGTCCTCTTCAACGCCACAAAATTGCCCGTTTGGACTTTGCAAGGGTACACCAAGCATGGGACATTGAAAGGTGGAAAAAAGTTGTCTTCTCTGATGAGAAAAAATTTAACCTTGATGGTCCTGATGGCTTCCAACGTTACTGGCATGACAAGATCCCACCTGAGATGTTTTCTACACGGCACAGTGGTGGGGGCGCCATCATGATTTGGGGTGCATTTTCCTTCAATGGAACAATGGAGCTTCAGGTTGTGCAGGGGCGTCAAACAGCAGCTGGCTATGTGGAGATGTTGCAGCGGGCATCCCTCATGACTGAGGGCCCTCGTCTGTGTGGTAATGATTGGGTTTTTCAACAGGACAATGCTGCAGTTCACAATGCCCGCCTGACAAAGGAGTTCTTCCAAGAGAATAACATCACTCTTTTGGACCATCCTGCATGTTCCCCGGATCTAAACCCAACTGAGAACATTTGGGGATGGATGGCAAGGGAAGTTTACAAAAATGGACATCAGTTCAAGACAGTGGATGGCCTTGGTGAAACCATCTTCAACACCTGGAGCAACGTTCCCACTAGCCTCCTGGAAACACTGGTATCAAGCATGCCTAAACCATTGTTTGAAGTCATCAACAAGAATGGTGGAGCTACTCATTACTGAGTCCTTTTTTTGACACTTTGATTTCTGTTTTGGGGGGTTTTCGGGKTTTTTTTTTTTTGAGCTATGGTCTTAAACTTTTGATCAGCTGAAAAAAATCATGTTTGAATGCAGTTTCCAGACAATTCCCTGCTCAAAAGTTCTTGTCTCTTGCACTGATTTCTTCTTTTAACATTGTGAAGCTCTACTATATATATGTGTGTTTGTGTGTGTGAGTGTGTGTGTTTGTGTTGTATGTGATCTATTACTTTTTTTTTCTCATATGTGTGTGTTTGTGGACAAAAGCTTTACAATGACTAAAAACGTAATAATTTACATACAACACAAGGACTGGAACAGCATCAGGATAAAGAAAAAAAATTGCCTCTGTAAACCGGAGCGATTACAAAGGAAATGTTTCAGCTGGTAAGATATCTCCCAGTCATCCTCACACACATCAATGTTAAGCTGATTTATTTATTACTAAAATTCAGTGTAAGCCAACTACAGAACACAGACCATAATTTAAGTTATGAATGCTAACTGTAGATCACAGATAGACCAAACAACTGAACAAAACAACGCAAGTTGTTTTTCAGCTTACCTGAGCAGACGACAATGGTGATGTTTAGTTCTGAGTGATGGAATTGCATCAACTTTTAGTGATAATCTTGTTATTAGTCCACAGTTAAATCCCCTTTTGTTCAGAAAACTATCATTTGTAAAGTGGCTCGCACAAATATATAAATAAATAAAAAAAATTTTCATTGGAGGGTTACTTCCAAAAATGAAATCAAACCATTTCAAGAACTGTGCCATCCTTGGCATCTGAAAATACATTTTCTCAAAGGTATTTTTTAATCTGAAATAGACTGGACTGATAATTAGGAGCTCAGCAGATGTGCACGAGCAGTTTCATCCGGTGTTTGCTAGCAATTGCTGCTGATAGCCTGTAGGAGCCACGAGGAGGTGTGCTCTGTGAGGAGGAAGCTCGGCTTGGAGACACAGCCCAGAGGAGAAGCTGCACCTAAAATGTGTATCTAGAGCCAACCAGCCATTTTTGTTTTCCTAAATGACTGCCTCAGGACACTACAGGGTTTCACAAAGCAAGACTCTGTGTATGTTTTTGATGAGAGGGTGACATTATAAGATGATATAAAGCTCAAAAAGTTGATTATTACATGATATTGCCCCTTTAAAAGTTGACTACAAATACAATATGTTTCTGCAGAACCTAACCTTATCAAGAATCTGAATTTATTATCACAAATTTGCTTTTCTTTGACTCCATCTGATAATATTCTTTATTATCAGGATAAAAGGTGTCGGCTTTTGTTTTCTATCACAGCTTATTCTAACTCATTAAACTACTAAAAACAGTAAACAAAAAAACAAACAAACAAACAAACAAACAAACAAACAAACAAATAAACTGTTTTAGAACACAAGCTCCTTAATTATAATGAGCTCAGTGTTTTACCAGCTTGGAACAATAGTTTTATTTTTCTACCACACAATGAGGTTAAAGCAGAAGCTCTCATAGATGCTCATAAATATGCTATAATATTATCTTTGTTTTGTCTAATCAATAAGATAAAAACCCTGTGTTTTGTTGCTCTGTTGACCCTTCCAGCATCAGTTTGACCCATCAGACACAGTGTAGGTGTGCGCAGCCTTACCTTGAACCTCATCAGCCACTTAACACATCAGTGAAAGCAGAGGGAACAGGAAGGAGAGAGACAGGAGAAAAGTGTCTTAAGGTTAGTGACAGAGAAACAGCTTCTCCTGAATCATCAGACAGAAGAACCAGCAGAGATAGAAACACATGGAGACAAACATACAGATACAGAGTGAGACACAGAGATATATTCACAAACTAACAAATTATTGTTCAGAGATAGTGAGAGATTAGTGTGTGACGTTTCTATTTTTTGTTGGATTGTTTTAATCGATTGTTGTATTGTTTTGTGCATTTACTGTATTTATTTTTTATCAGCTCAGGGCAGTGGTTGAAATTTAGCTGCTTTGCTAATTTCAGCGCATTTATATTCATAAAATATTGATGAAGGTGCTTTTAAATAAATAAATGAAATGAAATCGAAGTCCTACTGAGCTGAAGGTACACTGTACATGTTTAGTGATAACACTCACTTATCCACACAAACTGTCAGGTTTCATTTACAGTATATGATATGATTATGTATTTTAACAATTTTTTCCTGCTTTTATAAATCTTTTGTAGCTGTTCTTTAGTTTGGCACATTCTCAGTAAACAGAAACAACAATTCTAGTTTATTAAAAACATTATTGCTACCGTCTGAACTTAATAACACTTAGGATGGATGGAGGATTTTTTATAGAAGAATATTTAAAGATATAAAACTACAGAAAGTAGCTCCCAGTAAATAATATGTAATTCTCTTTAGATTTACTAGAATAAATATCACAGAGAACAGCAACATGTAGCATGTCTGCAGACTCCAGAGGTCATGTCCAGTTAGAGTTTGATATTACTTCTGCTGAAATAACCACATACTGTAAAACTAAAAGATGCAAAGATTTAAATCTCAGCCTAAACATGAACATTTTAAAGATTAAAGTTGTTTTAAGATGGCATGAATCTATTTGGACCATTTTTAGCTTGTTTTTTAATAAAATCACTTCCAAAGTGGTTTGCTATGATGCGGTATGAGGACCAAAATTAAGACTTTTGCGCAACCAGTAGTTGCTACATCCTTGTAGCAGGAGGCTATATCTATTCCTAAGCCAGCTATTGGTCTGATTAATGATAGGCCCGCAAAGGTAACAGAGCAGCTGGTCCCAGTAACTGAGAGGCTGGTGCTGGCAAATGAGAAGGAGACTATTCAATTGTGTTAGCATCGAAGAGGCTAGCAACTAGCATGGATAGGCTGGCATTAGCATTGGAGATGCTAGCGACTAGCATGGATAGGCTGGCATTAGCATTGGAGAGGCTGGCGCCATAGTTTGCAGCCTTTTTAAAACAACAAATTTTCAAAATTTCTTCTGCTAATATATAAACATCAAATTATATTTCACTTTACACACGTCTTTAGACAAAAATATGATGAAGTGATTTCTGAACATGACCCCAGAATGCTACATCTTGCTGCTGCTAGTTTATTGCAAAAAAAATCATCAAATTCCAGAGAAAGAAATGTGTCATGAAAAACTGAAGATGGTGCAAACGTCTAAAAAATACTATTTGCATGAGCTGCTGTGAAGTGTAGGAAATTATAATTGTACTAAGATAGCAGCACTCCACTTTGGCTTTATCAAACTAGCCATTAGCTCTTCAGTTTAGTCAGAATTGGCTCCATCTACATTAATTACATTTTTATTAAACATGTTGAAATGAGTAGTTAATACTGGTCTTACTACTATAATAATACGAAAAATCTATATTTATTTTAGGTAAATCTTAAACCAATTTGTTATTTGAGCACCTTCATTTCAGTTATTAACCATTTAAAACACAAAATAGAACTGAGCCAGGATCAATATAAAGTGAGACAGAAGAACCAGTAAACTTATCTCTACATGTGTTTAGGTTTCTAAAGCCCGGTTCACATCAAATGCATTTTGAGCGGCAAAAATGAGCCTAACGCCTCAAGTTGGATGCGCTACGTTCAGACCGGGACACAGACTAGAGGCGCGTCTGAAGAGCAAGGAGCATCTTCGGTTTTTCTGGTCTGTTTTTAATGGCGGATGAAATAAAGAAAATGGCTTCGCTTTATTTACTAAAGAGTAAGCGAACGTTGCGCACAGCAGATAATTAATTCACCAGATAATTTAGAAGCGGTTTGTTCAATTAGTTTCACCACTCCAGGAGCTGCGAGTTGACAAACTAKTTTTGTCCTGAGCCCAGTTTAACACCACGGTCAGTTTAACGAGCCGCTGACCCACATCGGTGCTGATATCTCCTGCCAGAACATCAAGTACAGACGGTCAATTTCAGCWAAAGAGCTCCTGTTGGGTCTGTTTGGGCAACATTCAGGAAGCTGTCACATGGAAAAATGAGCCTCTCTGATTGGTTGCTGTGGCGCGTCGAGCAGCAAAATGTCAATTTGTTGAACTTGAGCGGCGGCTGCTTTGGATGTGCCACATGCATGGAAAACGCTCTACCGCACCTATCGCTACCTTGCACATCGCGCTAAACTGGCTAAACGTGCTGYGCTGCTYCTAGATGCGCGTCCACCATAKACTTTGCATGTAAACTGGCTGCTTCGGCTGCTCAAGCATCTGGTGTGTACCTGGTTTGAGACGCACAGTGAAAGTCGACACAACTGTTCTTTCAATGTTTATTGGGGCAAATAAACACCTGCAACCACTGCAGTAATGTACCAGGCAGGGTTGCCAAATGGGACATAGTAAAGTGCTTTAACTGTTCCTTAGAAAACATTGTATCTTGCGTCAAAACAGCATTTGTATATGTATATGTATATGTATATGAATATGTATGTATATGTATATGTATATGTATATGTATATGTATATGTATATGTTTATGTGTATGTATATACGAGTGAGAGTGTTGTACCAGGT